CCTGGTCCTGCTGACCACACTGTTCATAAGAGAACATGCTGTTCTAGGATGTTCCAGAGACATCCTAGACTGAGAACCTGAGATGCTCCAGGACTTCTGTTTGGCTCTTGGTGCTGTCCTGAGAGCAGCTGTAGTGCAGAGACTATGAGGGTAACACAGCACTGCAAATAACCTTCCTGATTCCCTGAACAAGGCATCAGAGGAAGATCAGAGTTTAAAACCTTTTCTTTCTGATTTCCAAATGTCCACAATGGTGGGTGTCAGTGTAGGTCAGATTTCAGGGCTCTGGGGTAGGCTCACAGCAGACAAGAGTCACTGAGAGCCAAGGTCCCACCTGCACAATGGCAGCATGCATCCAGGAATGCTGGGAGCATTGGGAATACCAGGAATGTGCTCATGTTTCCAAGCTTGATCCCATCTGCAGCAATATTATAGAATCATAGAATCCCAGGATGGTTTGGGTGGAAAGTTGACTTTAAAGATCATCCCATCCCACCCCTGCCATGGGCAGGGACACCTCCCACCAGCCCAGGTTACTCCAAGCCCCATCCAGCCTGGCCTGGAACACTCCCAGGGATGGAACAGCCACAGCTGCTCCAGGCAATCCATTCCAGTGCCTCAAGCACCCTCACAGGGAACAATTCCTTCCCAATATCCCACCTGTCCCTGCCCTCTGGCAGTGGGAAGCCTTTGTCCTGGCACTCCAGGCCCGTGTGTACCATGGGATTTGGAGTTGGGATAAGAGCCATGGGACACAGTGGCTATGTGGAAGAGCTGAGAAGAGCCCACAGGGGCACAGTGCTCAGGCACCTGCTGCAGAACACATCCCTTTCTGAGGGAAGGATGGAGGAGGGAACTCAGCTCACCTGGTAGAACCTGGGCAGGCCCAGGATGGTGTCCATCAGGTCCTGCCTGCTGAGGTTGATGAGCCTCGTGCCCTGCCCCGTGCCCAGGAAGTGCAGCTGGAGGGTGATGAGCTTGGTGAGGCGGCGGCAGCGCAGGCCCTGCCGCACACACGAGTCCTGTGGAGCACAGCAGCCTCAGCGGGGCCGAGAGCAGCAACGTGCCCAGCGCCGCCCGGGGCCTGGCAGCACTCACTGACCATGTCCCATCAGTGTAATGAAGCTTCACTCCCCACCAACACCTCCAGCACCACCACCCCTGCTGCTATACACTGCACGCGTTCTGTTCCGGCTGAAACTGGGGAGCCCAGTGGGACCCTGAAACTGGGGAACTCAACTGCAACCTGAGAGTGGAACCCAATGGGACCCTGGGGCTAAAGCCAGAGCAGGGAGCAGTGTGCTGCTCTGAGATACAGCTGTGCTCCTGGGGCTGGCATAGCACGAGATTTCATGGCTCCTTCTCCCCTGGGCCAGGATGCTGCTCATCCTCCCCAGAGCAGCTCTGTGCTCTCCCCTGTGTGTTCTCCAGCTCAGCTCACTCCTTCTGTGCTCCCAATGCTGCACATTAGTCATTCATCCCATCCCACCTTACCTTGGAGTAACTTTCTGCTGCATCAATGAAGAGAGTCAGAGCTTTTAGCAGCAACTTCTTTAAATTTGCCACATCCTGAAGAGATTCCTCTGAAATGGGGAAAAGGAATAAGCAATTACTCATAAAGCTGACAAAGTACCTCACAGAAATCCCTCCTGGGACCAGGCCTGTCCCTGCTGTTGTCTAAGAAAGCAGCGACAGACCAAACCAACACTGCTGTGTTAAAAAAAGCAGGAAGGAACCTGCTGCCTGGTCAGTTATGGACCAGAGCTGCTGCTGCAACTGCTGAGGTGATTGAGGAAGTGGAGAGAAACTTCTACCACCACTTGTGGCAGATCCAAGCACTGACTCTTACCAGATCAACCCAGAAACGGCTTGAGACAGCTGCAGTTTGAGCTGCTGCCCCAGCACTGCCTAGTGGAGAGCTCCCAGTGCCCCCAGCACCGTCACAGCTCTGCAGAGCTCACCCAGGGCACGTTAAACACGTGCACAAACATAACCCAAACACCTCAGACACACAACTCTGCACAGAACCATGTCACACCCTATTAGGGTGAGGCAAACACAGCCGTGGTCTCACCTCCTCCCACGTGAGGACCACAGCAGTGCCACATCATGGTGGGAGCCAACACCTCCCCAAGCAGGAGTGCAGGACCCCCAGCTTGGCCCACAGGAGCCTCTCTGCAGGCTGTGCCATTTACCAGGTGTCAGAGGGCACAACCAAAGTGCCTTCACCCCTCCCATGGCCTCCCCCAACCCCCTGTGTGCCTGTGCTGCTCGTGCACTCACCCCAGGGCTGGGACTCGATGAGCTTGAGCTGGATGCAGGCAGCAGCCTCGTGGTTCTCCCCTATCTCCCTGCACATGCTGAAGCACAGAGCAATCATGTTGTGTTTCTCGCTGTCCCCAGGGCGGCAGCGCTTGATGTAGTCCAGCAGAGCTGTCTTCAGTGTCCCACTCTGGGGGAGGAGGACAGAATTACACTGGAACAGCTTTTCTTACTTCACATTTCAGTACCCACAAGCAATTCTGGTACAATATTCCAAAAGGAATCACTGCATTGCCTAGACTCTTTAAAACCCAAAGTCACACCAGGCTCAGGTGCAGTGAAATGCAGCACCTGTGCATTGCTTCCCTTGCAAAAAGGGACATTTCTTCATGGCTTTAGTTATTTTAAACAAAGCTGTAAGTGTTTATGGCTTTTAAACCCCCGTGGAACTCTAACTGGAAGTAAAAGCAAAGCAGGACATGAAAACTCTGCCAGTGCCAAGTCTGAAGTTCCAACACTGAACTAATGGGACAAAAATGGTTCAGCTAAAACCAGAAAAAAGCCCAGAATTGATTTCTTGCCATGAAACTTGACTAGCAGTTCTGCACTCCTGTACTAACCCCCAGGTACTTCCACCCCGTGTAAAACCCATCCCTGAGCATTCCCTCCCCTCTCCCCACGTACTGGGTCCAGTTTCTTCCTCATGAGCACCTCGAAGTAGTGTTTCTGGTGCAGCAGCTCAAAGATGTAAGTCATCTCGTTGTACCTGCCAATGCCTGTGAGCAGCCGAACCTGTGGGGCCCAGGGCAGCTCTGAGCTCCAGCTGTGCCCTCCAGGGCAGTGCTGGGGCAGAGCCAGCCCAGGGAGCCACAGCAGCCTTGCAGGACTTCCTGTGGAGCGTGGAGGGTTCAGTTTCAAACCACCTAGTGCAGCTTTTTACTGAGAGGTGAAAGGACATCATTTACCCAATCCAAATGGGCAGGGAACATTTGGGCACAGAAACCATCACATGGGGCATGTCTTAGGCTCCAGGAGTCCTCTCAGGAGAAGAATTAAAGCTGCCCAACAGCCCAGGAACACGGATCAGCACATCTGAACAGTGACTGAGTTACTCTGACATTCCCACTCTAGTTTATTGCACTGTTCCACCTCCCCACTCCACTGTCTCCACATCTGTTTTTCCAGGGAAGTCCTTTAAGAGCTTCTTGGACATAAAAATCATCACCTGCACAGAGCAGGCCAAGCACCCACAATCTGTCACCCAGAGGTGGGTGATGGGACTCCATCCCTGGGAGTGTTCCAGGTCAGGCTGGACAGGGCTTGGAGCAACCTGGGCTAATGGCAGGGGTGGAATGAAATGATTTTCAAGGTCCTTCTAACCCAAACCATCCTGGGATTCCATGGTTCTATGATTCCATCACCCACCCACTCCCCACACTGTCCCCAGCAAAGTCACTTGCTAGAGTGTACAGGGAACCCTTCCCTCAGCAGCTGGGCAAGCACACCCAGGCCCTGGGCAAGCCCCTGTGCCCCCAGACACATACCACCAGGCCATACTCCTCCTTGGGAGCCAAGTGCTGGTCTGTGAGCAGCCTTGCTGCCTGCAGGACTCGAGTGATACCCTCCATGTGGCAGGTCAAGCTGAAGCACTTGTGGGCCAGAATCAGCAGCTCTGTAACTGAAGAACAGAAGCACCTGGGTCTTCAGGTGGAAGCTGAGGCAGTTCACTGCTGCCTCTCTCCAGCAGTAAGCCCACATCTGCACACAACCTCCACTTGGGAGAGGAAGGGCACAAGTTCTGCCTCTGGGATGGACAAATCATTCCATTCCTAACACTGATTAGTGTGTATGGAGTCACAACTTCCTCCTCCAGCAGTTTGGGCCATTCCCTGCCTGCATTTCCCTGCTCCTGGCACAAAAACCTCTGTTTGCTGTTTGGAAACTGAACTGGCACTTCAGCAACACAATTCCCTGTGTGTTACTATTACCTGTGTATCTCTAGCAGTAGACAGATGTACACAGACAATACTAACACACAGATGTATTATTATCTCTGTGCCTGTATGACATGTACAACACAGGTATAACATATACAACATAAATACATATAAAACACATCCATGTGTTATTATCTATGTGCATCTACTGTTAGACAGTTGATATACACAGATATAAGTAACACTATAGCTACTATTCTTATCTACTGTATTTCCACTGTCTGTACAGATTTCTTATTAGACATCTATATTAGAGATCTAATATAGCTATTACATAGGCAATACATGATTAGTTATATCTATATCTGTAATTACCTATAGGTCATGTCTACAATATCTGTGTAACAATATCTATAGCAATATCCATACAATAATAATATAATCTAGTTATCTGTATGTCACAATTTTCTACCATGAGTCTGTGCACACACTCAGCTCTGTCAACCCAACACCCAACTGGAGCTCAGGAGTGGAGACTTCCCTCAGCTCTGCCTTTGTCCTTTGTGCTGTCAAGTTAAACCACATGTGAGTTCCACCCTGGTCCAACCAAGGCTGATCTGGATTTACTCACTGCAGGAGAGTTCCCCACGAGGGACAGAGGAGATTTTATCCAGTAGCTTCATGCCCACCAAGGTGTGATCCTGGCACAGCTTGGCCAGCTGCAGGAAGGTTTGGCTCTCTGCTGCAGGGCTCGCAGCCTGTCTCTGCCCTGGGACACACAGGAGTCATGGCACCAGTGCCCAACAACAAGTTCTGTTATTCATTAACCCCCCAAAACCAACCAACGTGACTCAGCCACACTCACTGAGCATTTGGGAATACAATCCTAAAGACCTTATTGCTCAAATTTAACAATCAGCTACTTCTTTGCCCCTTCAACCTAACCAAATCCTACCAAACAACCACATTTCTGTCCCTTGTTTCCCAAAGTGAAAGGAATATAAGGAATCCCTTTGGTCATGCTTTGCACAGAGACATGAACATCATTGTTCCCAGGTTGGATGATGTAAGGCTGCAAAGATTATGGTTAAAACAACCAATTAATCCTTTTTTGAGAGAAAGATTAAATTTACATCCATCAAAAAAAAAACCCCAGAATCACCAGGGTTGGAAGAGACCTCTAAGATCAGAGTCCAACCACTAACCTGTCAGATATATAGAATATATACAAACAAAACCTTGACTACTAAATATAAATAAACCTTTACTTATAAATAGAACCACTCTGGGCACAAAAATAGCTACAAATAAACACGTGTAAAACCTTGGGTAAGGCACTCAAGGCTTCCACACCCAGAGCTGCCTAAGCACTGGCGACTGCAGTTAGCACCCAAGTGGCTGTGTTCAGACACACAAACACCACATGGACAAGGCAAAAGCCCCAAAACCCAAGGCCAAAGCTCTCTCCTACCTTTGCCCTCTGCAGATGCCAAGAGCTCCTGCAGGACCTGCTCGGCCACCAGCTGTGCCACGGGCTCAGGCTGCAGCCCCTGGCTGGAGATGAAGGCCTGGGCCCTCCTGGCCCTGTCAGGCTGATGGGATGACAGGATGGCCCTCAGCACCTTCTCGGGGTCCTGGGCTGAGATCTCGCTGTAGGAGCAGCTCAGTTCCTGGGGGACACAGGGGAGTCAGGACAGCCCAGCCCAGAGGGTCCCTGCCCTGCAGGACACTGCCAGGCACAGTCTCCAGGCATGGCAGAGCTCTGAGTGCTTCCCCGACCAAACACAAACCTCAGTACCTCAAATACCGACAAGACACAAGTATTTCCTCCCAAACAGAAAGTTGTGATTTACTGCATAGATTATACTTGTGAGGCTCCTTTTCTCTACAAACTCTCAGTGAAGGAGAGGAGTTAGTTTTCCCGTTGGAAGGGTTTGGGTGAGGCTCTGTAAATCCTCTGCTGTAACATATCACAACCTCACAGATTAATCACAAATGAATTGAACACATTGGCTGACCCTGAGTGCCAAACTGTGGACACCCAACTGCAGGCCAGGAGGATGTGCATGGGATGAGAGGGACCAGGCCATGACAATTCTCAGTACCTCAGACCTAAAGCTCTCGCTGGGAACGGCTGAGCCATGAAAGGTTCTGCAGGAAAACCCAATGACCTCTGCAACAAAGATGAAGCTAATGTTTTCAGCACATGTTGCTGGGGTTTTTTTTCAGGAAATACTAATGCTGTGACACAAAACATGGAGCAAACACCCACAAAGGGGTTCTGTGTCCTGAGGAGGTGCTGGGGAAGCTGCAGTGAGCTGATGGGAACTGGCAAGGCCCAGGAGCAGAGGCACAAACCAAGTGCTGCTGCTCTGTCACTGCCTGGTCAAACCACTTGGAACTCCTCAGTCACTGCTCAGTGAGAACCTTCATCACCCTTTGTCCTTTCTTCCATAAAGCCCCAGCACAGCCAGAGAGTCCCTGTCTCTCCACAGACACATACCTTGGAGAGCTCGTACAGGCACAGGACCTGCCTGCAGTAGCTCCTGCCATGGACACACTCCTCTGTGAGAGCCTTCAGGCACACCACGACCTGCTCAGCTGGAGATGGAGCCACCAGGTGTGTCCAGTCTTCTAGGCTGGATGCTGGAGACAGAAACACCTATCAATTCCCTTCTCATCCGGACAGATAACAACCAAAGAGCCTCACACTTGGAACAAGACTTCCCAAATCTGTAGCAATTCCATAACACTTTCTCAACCTTTGGAAACTGAACTGGTATCTGTGAGTTTTCATTTCTGGGTGTAAGTTTTAGGGCACAGAACACAAATAAGCCAAAATATCCACAAGAATAGCTCAGATACAAAACTCCCTGAGGGCTCAGCCTTTCTGATGGCTTAGGCTTCACTTACTCTTTTCTGTGTCTGTTCAGCCTTACACACATATTGGAAAGGGATGTCCCAGCTGAGAACTTTCACACTCACAGGGAAGACTGCAAACATTCTCAGCCTTATAGCTATTAATAACAAACACTAAACCTTTTATAATGCACAATGAAGTCACAGAAATCTATTAATTAAAGCACTTCCTTGTTTCAGCTCCACAGAAAAAGATTTACCAGGGAGTATTCCAAAAGCAGGAGCAGAAATGGGGTTTCAGTGCTGCTTTAGCAGAAGAGAATTGAGAACTATGAGGAATTAAAGGTTTGGGGACTACAGAAGTTGCACCCAGAAACTCTATGCCTGGAGCACACAGAGGCAATGAGTATTGCAAGGCTTCAGTCCCTTTCATGAGAGGATTTATGAGCCAAGGAGACAACACTGTCAGGAAAAGCTCAATTCCCGCAGAGGGTTTAGGGGAATTAACACTGCAATGAGAGAGGAAGGATCCAGTGGAAGCCAACAAAGGTATTGGGTGCCAAGTGACTGAATGGACCAGTTACTCACTGCCTATGGCTCTGCTTGGCTGAGCTGCACTGTCCTGGGCCATGCTTGCCCTTGCTGCCAGGAGACTCTGCACCTCCGGGTGTAGCTGGTCCAGCTCAGCCTCCCCCGAGGCCAGAGCCCTGCAGTGCAGCACCAGGGACACGTCCCGGTGGGCCAGGTGGAAGTGGTGGCAGACTCTGGTGGCCTCGTGCACGCTGCCCTCATCCAGCAGGGACCCCACCAGGCCCCGCAGAGCCTTCTGCTCAGCACCACTCAGGGGCTGCTCAGCCTCCCCGAGGGGCAGAGCCTCCAGCTGCAGGTACTTGGGGCTGTTGAGGGCAGGCAGCTTGGAGAAGGAGAACTGCTTGGCCAGGGTGTCAAAGGAGAGGTCTCTGCTCCCTGCAGCAGGGGAGGGTGGTGGGGACTGGTCCAAGCACTCGGCTGCCAACACTTGCTGTGCAATGCGACAGATCCACATCTGCTTCTCCAGCTCCTCCAGCTCCTGCAGGGGCACAGAGTCATCCTTGGCCAGCCAGTGGCCAGCCAGGGGCAGCAGCAAGTGTCTCTCCATGATGCTGTCTCTCTCCTCCTGCCCCAAGGAGCCAAACACCACGTTTGCCTGCTGGAGGAAGAAGGCAGCAGCAGCCTGGCTGGAGATGGAATGTCTCAGGAAGGTGTCGTGGCACTTCTGCCAGAACTCAGCTCTTGTCTGGGCCTGATGCCACTGCCCAAGGTCTCTCAAATGCTGCAGATCTCTCAGAACCTGTAAAAGTACACAGAGGGATGAAAGAATTCTCTTTCCAAGACAGAAACCTCACACCTGATGGGCCAAACACTGGATTTGGGGAGGTGTCTCAATAGGAAACAGGTCACAGAATCCCAGGATGGTTTGGGCTGGAAGGGGCCTTAAAGCTCACCTCGTTCCACCCCCTGCCATGGGCAGGGATGGGAAAACCCATCTGTTTTTCTTCCCAAATAAAGCTGATTGCACACAAGTAACACCTGAGAGAATAAGGACAGTTCTAGTGTCCTTTGCAGCTCAGCACTAACAGCCAACACATGTTTACTGCACTTGAATTTAAAATGAGAAGTGATTTGAAGGAAAATCAGTGTTTCAGGAAGGCTGAGAAATTGCATCCTCAGCCCTGGCAGTAAGAGAAGGATGAAGAACATCATTACTGTACTGTACCTCTTGTGTGAGGACACTGTCCACAGGCAGCTCAGCCAGAGTTGCGACCTCCCTGGCCAGCCAGAACATTCCCTGCTCCTGCAGCTGCTCCAGGATGGATGTGCACTGCCTCTGGAACGTCTCCAGGCTGGAACAGGTGAGAATGGAGCGATGGATGGATATGGAGGAATCCTTCAGGGTCTCACTGAGGGCACAGAGTTTCTTCACATAAGGGCCTGGGTTGAGAGGACAAAACACAACTGGTTAAACCTGAGCAGACTCTGCTGCTCTGCAGCACTCAGCCCTGCCAGGGGGCACAGACCTCCCAGGGGAAATTCTCACCATCCAGGAGAGGATTTTCTGCTGCAGCAAAGAGCTGTAAGAGCTTTCCCAGCTCATAATCAGTTCTGCACTGCTGCAGCATCAGCTCCAGAAGAAACTTTGCTTGTGATTCCAACCAGGGCACAGGGAACTCTGCAGCTGCTGCTGCTTCAGCTTTCAGCTGTGGAGACAAAGGATTCTAAGTGTTGGAGTTGGTTTTACAAATATATTGTGCATTTTGTTGGGAATGGCACTGGGAGTGGGAGGTGCAGCACATCTGCCTCCTCCTTTAGGGATCAGTGACCTGCCATTCCCAAGGGATCACTGATCTATCACTGATGTGTGAGCTGAAAGTAGGAAATTTTAGAGCAGGTGACCTCTGATAATCATGGAAGAGAGAGAAGATGCAAGAAGGATCAGGAATGGACAGATGTAAAGGGAAACAGCTGGCCTGAGCTAGAATTCCAGGAGGGAGAAACACTAAGGACATGGAATGTGCGTTACCAACATATTCAGGGAACTAGAAAACGGATGGAAAGGGAAGAACCAAACTAGTTTTTGAAGACGTCTGTATGTGACAAGTGCAAAATCACTCTGGTCCTCCTAACCAGCTGCTAAATCAGGGATCAACCTGTGGGATTTAATCTCCAAGTCACTGACAAACCCCCAAACTGCAGGAACAGCACAGATGGCTTCTGAGCTTTTCAAACACACTCAAAAAGCTCTTTCTTGAATAGATACTCCCTGTGGGCACTGGTTTATCAGCTCAGAATTGCCCTGCCCTGGTCAACACAGAGCAGAGAATAACCCACAAATAATTCAGCTACCTGAGTTATTCCTCTCTCACCACAGATTTAGCAGCAGTGCTCAGTGCCAACCCTCACACTGAAGTGCTCACACAGGGAGGAGGATGCTATTTCACTCTGCCCAACTTAAAGCAAAGTGATTTAGACAAATGCTCTGTGGGTTTTGTCTGAAATATTATTTCACTGCTGCTTCCCCAAGCAGCTCCTGGGTCACCCATGCACTCCCTTCTCACTGCTCCCACATGTGACTTGGATGTCCATCACTTCAGCAAGGGCAGCCCCAGGCAATGGCACTCAGGGAAAACTGATTTCCTCACCATTGTGAGACTCTCCTGAAACTTGTCCAGTTTGGCTTTAGCTTCCTTGTACTTCTTGCAGCTCATGCACAGCTCATACATCTCCAGCAGGTGCAGCAAAGGGGAATCCTGTCAGGTGCAAAAATAAGTTACAATTATGTCCTAGGAGTCCCTCAATAAGTGTGGAATTTATCATCCTCAGTACCAGAACCATAAAGATCTAATTTACTAAAACTGGTATAAGGTTGATACATGATCATTTGTGATATTTGTGTGATATTTGTTGTATTGATATTTGTGATAACTGCAAGAACTTCCAGCCAAAGGTTTTCTTCCCTGACTGGGATTTTCCATGGGTTGCACTCAGATTATTTGGGGCACAAATTACAACACAGAGAGGGATTTAGAGTCCATATCCTCTCCCAGTTGATACACTCAGCCAACACTAACCCCACATTCTCTCACCTTTACAAAGAGCATGAAGCCATTCAGAAGTGTTTTACTTCTCTCCTTTCTTAGAAAGACTTTCCAGATGACTGAGAGGTCCTTCAGGTCCCACTGGTGATCTGCTGCTGAGCTCTGCAGGTGCTTTGTGGCCTCAGCTCTTGTGGCATCATCCACAGTGGTGATGATCCAAACACAGAGGCAGTGGATGATGTTTGCATCCTGGGAATGGCATAACCAACGGGTTTGTAACAAACAGAGACAAACGTAACCTTAGTATAGATCACTTGGTGAAATGTGCCATATTATTCACAATTACTGCAAAAAGTGAGAGCAAAAACAGCTTTTAATGCAACTGCAGATCCACCTTTCAATGGAATCATGGACAACCAGCAGCTTTTATTGCTTATTTCTCTAGAAGAGCACTAACTTCACCATACTCACAGGGAAACAAGCTGCCAGAACACTGAGGATAGGCACGTGCTGCCTCAGAGCTTCAGCCAGGAGGTACCAGGAGGGGTTAGGGTTCCCCTGGCACTGCAGGAGGATGTGGAAGAGGCTCCCTGCAGATCTGCCCCTGGCCAGGCTGCCAGCACTGCCCTCAGGGCACAAAACCTTCTCCAGGGCCAACATCAAGTGATCTTGTAGAGGGGGAGGGAACTCCTGAAGGATGGGAATGACCTGGGAAACAGAGCCAAAAACACAGAGAAAGAAGAGGAGGAGGAAGAGGAGGAAGATGAAGAGGACTGAAGACATCAAATACACAGAGATGCATAAAACATTCTTCAAATCTGAATTCTTAGAACAATTTCGGAGACCCAGAGAGCAAAAAGGTTCTGTAGGTGTGAGTTTTCTCATAAAATATTGAAGTTCATCCTTTTCAGTGAAGCTAAAATGCTCCTAGAGACACAATTCTGTCACCTCTTGTGCTGCCAACAACAGAGCAGGAAAAGTGTCTAGTTTTAGGTGCTTTTGTGTACTTATATATTTTTCAAGACAACAAAGAGATCCAAGTTAAAATCCTGCTAAGTGTCCTCTTACTTGGAATTCCCTAATTAGCTTCCTCACATTACTTTTCCCAGACTGCTTTCAATTTCTACATATTAGTGACATTTGATTCACTTTTAAATCACATTCAAAACCAGAAATGAAAGATTTGGGTTCTAATTAGCTTTAGTATCTTTACACAAAACCCACTGTGAGTTTGGAAGGGGAAGGTAAGTGGCTTGATTGAAACTTCCACTGAACATCTGTGACTCTCCCATGAAAAAAGCAGCAACCAAATGATTTTAAATTCCATTTACAAACAGTATGAGCATGTCATAATTTTAACTACATCAAATAGGAAAATTAAATCCCCTCTTGGCAAATACCTTTTGTCCAATTCACACTCAAAGAGCCACTCCAACCACTCCTCTCTGAATATTTCCTTCACTACTGATTAATAACATCACACAATTCTTCCAACTGGGAATTGTTTTCCTAATCTTCTCCTTTAACACTTAGCTTTCATGCTCCCAGAACTATGTTACTGGATCCCTCTGCAGCCAACTTCCTCTGCCTTGTGCCAGCTTTTCACACACAAGAGGGGGAGAAGAGCAGCAAAGCTGGGCAATGTGACCACAAGAGAAAACCTATCACAGTCAGAGGGTGTGGAGCATCCTGATACACCCAAACCCCTGGAAACTGAGGAGAATCAACCTTCTGTTGTCTCTACACTGTGATATTCTTTAGCCCTTACTCACCCTCATGCCCAGAGAGCTCACCTCCCGTGGCTGGTGGCCATACAGGTGGGTCTGGATGATGAATTGCAGCCAGTCCTTGGCTCTGGCACATTCCCTCAGGTAGGATGTGCTCAGCCCCACGTTGTGGAGCTTACAGAACTGCATGACCAGGGACCACTGCCTTCTGGAGTCACTGCATGTCCTGCAGGGGATTTCAAGAGCTTCAGCTGTAATGAACTGCAATATGCAGATGTTCATGTCTAAACTCAGTCTGTGGCCTGAGATCCATCACTGCCCGCACAGGGCAACACTAGCACTGCCAGGGACTGCACTACCAGCACTGTGGAGCTTCCACACTGCACCCTGAGGTCATTCCCTCCCACCCATCCAGGCAGGTGCAGTGTCCTGTCCTGATCTCTAACATTACCTGATGCATAACTGACACAATTCAGTGCTCAGTCCCAGCATAACCCTTAAACCAGGTCATACTTACCTCTTTATCCCTTGATGCTCAATTGCATCCCAGAAAGCTTCTTCCAAGGAGGTAAGAATTGCTGCTGCTGCTGCTTTGTCACCATCAGCCAACTTTGTTAACTTCTCCACTGTTGAAGAGAACACAGAGCCATTCCTGAGATGCTGTTTGGGGGCAGAGCAAGGGCAGTACTGGAAGTGCCAGTAGTTCCCCAGCTGGACTATGGGCAGAGATTCAACTTTCTGAAGTGATTCCAAGACTAAATTCAATTCCCTTACAGCTCTGAACACCTGATTTCTCTGCAGCTATAGACAGTTTTGAAGTAGGACAGAGACAAGAGATTTGCAATGGACTTTGTTTAACTCTCTGTTATATTATTACAACATTAGGTTCAACCTCACTCAATATTTCAGAGCCTTAGGCAGCTGTTGGATCTCTATCTGTTGGATCTCTGCTAATCTCAGTGACTGTGAGATCTTGCTGCAGCTCTGGCTGCATGGTATAACAGCCTTCCTGTCTGATTTGGTAGGACAGGTTCACAATGCACCTTCAACTAGTAAGGAACAGGAATAAGAGCAGGACAGAATTCCTAGATGCTGTCACTGCACTCCTGAGCCATCAGGCACCTTCCTTCCTTCCCTCTCTGCTTCTTCTCCCAAGAAACCCACAGCTCCCTGTTCCAGCCCAGACAGCCTTACCCAAGGAGTCTCTGATCTGGTTGTGATGAGATTCCTCATTTCTGGTTCTGTAGGTGAAAATCATGTTTGCCACTCTGACATCCACCCTGAGCTTGAGGCTGTCGAGGCCAAGCAGCTCCAGGAAACACACAGAGGCTGCTGCCACCGCGGGGACACTGAAGGAGGAGAGAGCCAGAACGTGTGCCTCCTGCCCTGCCTGCTGGATCCTGGGGCACAAGGAACACACAGCCGTTTGAGCCAACTCTCCAGCAGGAGCATTCCCCATGCAAACAGCCAATGACAAGGTTTACTAACTCTCAGATTTGTGAGCAGGAAAGATAATTACACACCAAAAGTGTCATAAAGAAATGTTGGTGTGAGACTAAAGCCTCACACAGGACTAAAGCCTCACACACTTACCAAAGACTAAAGCTAATGCAACTGATGCTATAACTAATCAAATACATCCCTCTGCAGAGCTCACAATCCCCTGCAGCAACAGGAACCTGAAGCTGATTTGCAGATGGTGCTAAGCAACAAAGGTATCCTGAAGGGTTCTACTGGTTTTTACTGGACGTTTTCCTGCAGGAGTCACTGAAAAATTCCTGCCTCCTTCACTGCTCTCAAGCTATCAGGTACTTCACTCTACATCAACATATGTTCTCATTTTAGTCCAATTTTACCTGTGCACATCAAACCAATCTGTATAGAAATGGTCAACAGAAACAAACAGTGACTAATGCACAAACCAAACGATCCAGAAACAAAGTGATTTGTGTTGATGTAACTCCTACCAATTCTGAATACATTGAGTAGCAAATTTATTATACTGAAGATGTACAAGTTGTCTGTATCCTTTGGAACACATGATTTGGAAGCTTCAGCCAGAGAACTTAATTCCTTCAACCTCCAGTATATTATTTGCCTTATTAATTCAACTAAAGAAGTGCCACCTTGGAAAATGTCAAAGCAAAGATGCTTTTCTCCTACACAGTGATCGAGAGGCTCAGAGCCCAGAAGAGACTACTTGTGTGTGCTACAACAGGAACACTTCCCATTCCTTGCTTTCCTTGCTAGATTTAATTTAGTTAATTCAAAACACACCTCATCTCCTTTCAGCTGATACTTCATTTCTATCCTGTTCAATGCTGGTCTGAACAGGCCTTAGGACACCCAAAATTTCAGCACTCACCTCTTGTTTGCTGCTGGGGAGGATGAATGTCACTCTGTGCTGCACTAAGGCTTCAAAACAACTCTCTGAGTGGCAGATTTGAGGAGACTTACAGCTCTTTGGGGGTTCACTTACAAATGTTTGAGGAGTTTCACTTACAGCTGTCTGGGGGTTTTGCTCTTGAGCAGCTGCTGGACCAGGAAGGTGCCGAAGGCGAAGGCAGGACGCCCATGCAGCAGGTAGTACACAAAGTCCAGTCGCTCCATCACTGCATGTCTGTTCACCAGCTCAGGGCAGGAGAAGTGAGGGAACTCACTGCATGCATCTAGAAAGAATATCAGCATCAATATGAGCTGATAAACAGTTGAATTAAACATTAAAAATTGCTTTTAGCTACAAAACACGAGATGACAATCAAATACATGTCCTGTTGTTCTAGTTTGGAGCTTGGCACATCCAAATCCCCTGAAATTCCACCTCTCACTGGGAAATCACAATTCTGGGTCACTCCTCAGGCCCTCAGCTTGCTCCTAACAGAAAACATTCCTTTTCTATCTCATAATATATTCAGAAACACTTCTGTGAAGAGCTTAATGCAAGAATCCAATATTTCAGCTGAAAACACACCTGGAGTAAACAACACTAATTTCTGAAAGAAATGGCCTTTGGAGCAACTTTACCTGCCAAATCATTCCACTGGAAGGTGTTTTATTGTACTGGGAAAGCATCTCAGCCCTGCTGAGGCACATACCTGACACAGCAAGAGTGTTTGTTGGCTGCCAACCAAACAACTTCCTGGGATCAAAGGGCATCAAGGACTGAAAGATTAGAAACAAAACACATTGAGACAGCTCAAGTTTCACATCACTGTGCTTCAACTCTCAGCTTTTATTTCCCTCAGACTGTTAAAAGCATTTTAACATTTAAATATTGTCATTTCTACAATATTAAACCCCTTCCCCACTGGACACTGCATGAATCTCCCTCTCTGGCATTCCAGGACTGCTCAGGTCAAACTCTGCACACTCACAGTACTGAGATACTACTTTATTTCTTTCATAGAATCAACCAGGTTGGAAGAGACCTCAAAGATCATCGAGCCCAACCCTACTGTGGTCACTAGCCCATGGCACTAAGTGCCACATCCAGTCTCACCCTGAAAACCTCCAGGGATGGTGAATCCACCACCTCCCTGGGCAGCACATTCCAATGCCTGAGCACTCTCTCTGTAAAAAAATCTCTTCCTAAGACCCAACCTAACCCTCCCCTGGCAGAGCTTGAGTCTGTGCCCTCTTGTCCTGCTGCTGGGAGAAGAGACCAACCCCCACCTGACTCCAACCTCCTGTCAGGCAGTTGCAGAGGGTGAGAAGGTCTCCCCTGAAAAAGAACCTGTTCAGAATGAAGCTATGAACTTCAGCTCCAAATTAAGGATTCCATACAAATAACATGTTCCCACACTCCAGGCTTTAGCTGCAAGTAAGCTTCTCTCTACTTTTGTCCTGCCCAAAAGCACTTTGTGTACCTGCAGGAGATGGTAGAGAGAGATGTCAGGTGGCAAAATCCCATGAGAGGTACAGGAGGGGAACAGAGCAGCCTTGAGCTTGGGGTAAGGAGTCAGGGCCATTTTTAAGAGCTGTGGATCAACCTTCCTTAGAGGTTTTTCTGTATCTTCATTCTGAAGAACCTACAGGGCAAGGGAGGAAAATTGTTTAATGAAGAAACTGCACCAAGGTAACAGCAAAACAGTCACTGAATGTCCCTAACTGCCTCCTGGGGGTTTGACATGCAGTGACAGCACAACAAGCGTAATTGTTTTGTAAAATCACAGTTTCATAAATTATTAAAAGGTTGGAATGGACCTTAGAGATCATTCAGTGCTAACCCCCTGCCCTGGGCAGGGACACCTCCCACCAGAGCAGGTTGCTCAAGGCTTATCCAACCTGGCTGT